GTAAAACTATGAAAAATAACCGTGAACCAAGAACATGTCCAATCAAGAATGTGTGCACCGTCTAGTCAATGCTATAATAATAATAATAAGAATAACCAAGGAAATCTCATATCAGGGTATAGATATCGAGAGTATAGCCATGCTATGAAAGCACGCTTATAAATCATATTTTTAACAGGAGTCGTCTTCATGCACAGTCTCTCCTATTTGATAACAACTAGGTGATTAAGTAACAATTTTTCATAAAGTCATTCATGTCAACCACAATATCAGACAAAATAAATACTATATGCATAAGCCGATTTTTGTCTACTCATGACCTTTCAGGTGATCTCTAAAATCAATAGCTGGTCTATAGTTAACAAATTTATATGTAAATATAAAGCTTCCATCTATAAAGACTTGGAACATATGACATGACTTTTATGCAAGGGCTTGAGTTGTATTTAAGTTTGCTCCAGACTGGTTATAGTAAAATTTAGTCTGGTCTGGTTCAGAATTCATTTCTGGGAAATTTGTACTGTCTGGTTTGGATTTTTGGTTCAGTCAGATCGGTTTGGGTTCAATCGGATCTGGTTTAGATTCAATTCTAGTTTGGTTCAGTGTCGGTTCTGGTCTGATTCATAACTGGTTCGGGTCTGGTATGCAGACTGTAGGGGTTCTGGTTTAGGTCAGTCTGGGTTCGGGTCTAGTCTGAACTTAAGTTCGGGTTCGGTTTAAACTGGTTCGGGTTCAAGTTCAGACCGAACTAAAAATATATATTTTTGTAAAAGTGAAGCTTATGGGATTCGAACTCATAACCAATGGCTTAGGATCCAAGTCTTGTGACCACTAAGCTAAGCACATACATGTGAAGTTTATTGTTGCAGAAGTACATATAATAGTTAAGTTCTGATTTCTAGACCAACAAATTTATTAGAAGGAGGGGTTTGGAAAATAACCCGAAAATACATAATTTTCTAAACTTGACCAAAATGAATAATAAAAATATTATCCGAATTTTGAAAATTTATTCATTTTCTTGTTAGAAAAATATCATTATCTAAAATAAAAATGCTTACATAAATTTTGGCATACAAACTTAACCCACAATAATTATGTAACATGGAAACTAATATTGACAAAAATTTTAAAGAGGAAATTTTTCTTGCATAATAATAATAAGAACAAATTCTTAGAGAACTCAAGAATAATAGAATACTATGAAATTAGAACATAAACGAAAATATTCAACAAGAAGCAAGACAAAAATGCTTGCCTAATTGCCGAGCTAAGTCTCTCAATCCCAAAAGCCAGCAAAAAATAAAATCCCTACTCCTCCTCCTTTCTCTCTATATTTTTTTTTCTCTCTTCGTGAGAATGAATGATTGACAGTGTAGGAAAATATCACATGAGAGTTGCTCCGTAGACAGAGGATTTATAGGCCTTAGTCATTTATAGATGGGCCGGCGGGGATGGGTCACGGGTTCTAATTGCATCCCTTTGTCAAAGTTTCACTGCCAAACATTATTATTATTATTTTGTTTGTTTGTTGTTGGATTTTTGACTGGTGGGATGATGAATTTATTATACCGACCATGTGATTGATAAGGACTTGCAGACAAATTAGACTAATGAGCTTGATTTCGGGAGAGTTAGGCGGAAAGGAGTGTCTACTTTAGATCAATAGTAGCATGGGTTAAGACAAACATTTAGTTTATCGTGTTGCATTTAAGACTTTAAAGGAGCTTTTAGGAAAGTCGGTATGAGGTAGACAACAAACAGAAGTTTAAAAATAATAATAATCTATAAATGCAAAACTTATGGGAGAAATGCATACGTTGTTCGAACTTGTTTAAACTTGTATTCATAGAGGTCAGGTGTCTTTCTATAAGGTGGTGGGCCTTGGGCCTTGTCATGATCCCTTTGAATTCCCCACCACATATCAACTCAGTGGGTCATCAAGGTGGAGCCAAGGCCCTTCTCAAAAAAAAAAACTAGCTCCCTTTACATAACTATTATTCCTAAAAAGATCTTACCAAAGTTGATGATATTTTAGGGTATTACAGTTTCTGCGTCTGTACTCACCACGAGGTCTGTCCTGCATCGCGCTTGTTAGCCCCTCTCCTCACCGAGTCATGCTCCCAATTAGTTGTTCTGCTTTTCGAGCGCCCTCTACGACATCAGCATTTTTTTAGGTATCTACCTCCTGTCTGAACTGTATAATTGAGTCTGGATCTCAAATTTAGACCCTGCATGGAACCTTTGTCCCTTATCACCTCATACACCATTCCCCGGCAGCAACCTTGCGTGAGCTTGCAAATTCGCTGTCCAATACTCATCATACAGTATGTAAGCTCGCTGTGTTAGCATGCACAAACTGCTCTACCATCTCAAGACGCAGTGTCTTTTGCGAAAAAAATGTCTCTAGGAAACTTTCTTGGGAAATGTACTCCCATGAAATTGGCTGAGGCAAGCTTCTCCTCCTTGCGTCCCACCAGGTCCCTGCTACATTAACGAGCCGTAGCCGTGCACAGATTTACTCATCTTCGTCTGTATTTTTGCTGCCCTTAATAAGCGATACCATATGCCGTCTGCCAACCACATCTCGGCCTCATATTCCGCCTTCAGTCCCCGCAAAGGTTGAGGGTTGAGCTTCCGAAAATCGGGACACATTACCGAGACCTGGCAACCTGATGGTGCCCATGCCTCTGCGATTTATGAGCTACTAGCCTCCCTAATTGCCTTCGCAAAGATCAGCCTGATCGGCTTGATTTCCCTTCACCAAGGACTAACTGAGTAGGCGGGGAGTCGACGCTTGGGGCCATATGATCACCTTAAAGATGAAGATTTGTTAAGATTAGGACTTTGAGTAATCAGGGTATTTGGGAGTCAAAGCGACAAGAATCTGAAAAGCGAGGACTCTACTCTATATCATTGCTCTATCGTTGTTGTCTACTCTTTTATGTTTACTTGTATACAGGATGAGACAAAAATTATAAACTGGCTCTGATACCAATAAAAACCTGTGCTCACGCCCCCAGTACCAAAATAAATATTTGTAGGACGTGAAACTCGGTCGCGCAATGCAAACCATATCCGTCACCATTCACCCTTCTGGAATTATCCGCGTTATTACAGATATATTGCGCCTACAAGAACTACTCACAGTAAGCAGTGGTAACTAATGATAACAAAGGGAAATGTATAGAATAAAAAGAAATCAGAACAAGACAAGTTTCTCTTATCATGTCCGTCAAACTTCCAAATAGGAAAGAGGAATCGGCATACATTATAGTTCTGAAATGCCAAATTTATTACATGACAAGTCTCCATATACGACTGTAGACTTACCTAATACAAGAAGTAGAGAATTGATATAACAACAAGCTGCATCACTGTTTGCTGAGCCTCGTCCCCGTCGAAATACTCTTCGATCCCTGCCGAAGAAGAGAATGGTTTTTTTTTCCCCGAAATTCTGTTTGGCCGAGCAAAAAACAAACCCCCAAAGAGGGCTATCAGGAAAACTCCCAGCAAGGCGATGTAAAATGAGAAATGTCTACGTGCCTCGTGTAAGTGTTGTGACAAGTATAAATAAAAATATGAAGATCTAAATTCGAGCGTGAAATACAGAAAAATACTCATCATAAATATCAAACAAGCTCTACCACAAGTGCACATCAAATATATTATTTTAAT